TGAAAGGCAAATACAGTATAAAAGGAAAGGGGGGAAGGAAATATGATCTGTGCAGTTTAATAGCAAGAAAAGACATGTGGAAAGATGGAATGTGGTTTACAAATGTAGTTTGAGCATTGTTCATACAGCCTGGCCTGCCCCATGCCCAGCAGGAAAATGCAGAGGAGAAAAATCAGAAGCCAACTAACTTGGGCACTGGTCGCAATACCTGCTCCCATCAGCCATCGCATGTCCTGTGAGACATCCCTGTGGTACAGGTCAGAGTATCACTGGTGTATGAATTACACTGCTCTGGCTACTCAGATAGCTGTCTCTAGTTACCAGGGGAAAAGAAATCAAAGAACAAAACTGGTAACAATGTGGGGGGAAAAAAAAAAGCAAAGCATGTGTTTAAAAGTCTTGCTGGCTCCCAGCCAGCGTGCTCAGCACCTTCCAGTATGCATTTTGGAACAATTAGCCTGTAGGCAGCCACCAAGTTTCCCAATACACTGCTACTCTCTGTGATGGAAATGTCGGCTCTACTCCAGCAAAACATTTAAGCACATACTTGGACTTTAACTATGGTCTGAGGACATCAGAAAGGACAATATCCACGTGCCGAAGTGTGAACAACACTGAAAATCTCAGCGTCAAAAATGTGGAAATACTTATGAGTGTCTGGGTGAATGTGTTTCACATGTGCCTAAAGAGCTGCCCAGTTCCACTGAAGCCATCCCAGGAGAACGACAGCTTTGCTTAGGCTAGCAGGGCTCATGTCAAGGAAGCACCAGAAATAACTGCCATTGCACACACACACACACACAAGAGCAAGGTGACAGGGCTGGGCTCTGTCTAGACATGAGCTTGCAGCTGCCTGCGCACAAAACATGGGGAGCGAGGATGCAATCGAGCCGTGGGGTGGCAGAGGCTGTAGGAAGGCTGCACCCCGTTGCATGGATCAGCTACGCTCCGACTGAGTCTTCCAAAATGGCTCCTGCTCAGTTCCTCTCGCTTTGTCCCTCTCCAGCCCTCAATCACCGTGGCTGTTTGCTTTGCAGCTGCTCGAGCCCGTGAGAGATGCACCAGGGCGCAGGGAGCGCGGTCATCTCCCGTGCCTTCCTGATTGCTTGTTGCTGTCTGGGAGGCACACACACTCATTTGGAAAGGATGCCAGAAACACTCGGTATCATCAACCAAACACCGAGCAGAAGTACAAATAAACCCACAGAGGTAACCCACACACTTCGAGGCAGCTTTATCTGCATTCTCTGCATGTGAACTAACCTCATCTGGAAGGTTTTCTGTGCAGTAACAACACCAAATCACTAACATTTCCCTTTACTATTATATTATCATGGATTAGTATTATTCCTTTGCCTTTTGAGGTTTAGCAGTCTTGACAATTGGTTACTTTTTAAAACGGAGAACACAAAGAAACTAATTCTGCAATTAAAAGAGGCAAAAACACGCTGGAAAGCTTCTTGAGGAAGTGATCAGTTCCTCCTGACTTCTCCGAAAGGAACTGCTGGTAAAACCCTCCAGGCTTGTGACCCAGGAGATCTAGCATAGACAATTATAGAAGACCTTAAAACCTACAAGCCTGCGAATTACTCCCTTGTACCTGACAAAGGACACTCATAAGAAAACTATTTTTGGCTTTCCTTTCACCAGTTCTGTTTGACAATAAAACCCTATTCTTCAGCTTCCTGTTTTTGAAATTGTAGCCCAATACATTTCAATGGAAAATTCTCATTTACATAGTATCTGTCACCTGCCATGACCTACCCCTCTTTTACAGATGGTGCCTGTTCACCAGGGGCCAAAAGAACATTTACAGAGAATAGTGAAGAAGAGACACTCTTGCTCAGGGTCAGATGGCACCGCAGTGCTCAGTAAAAGAATCCAAAACTTCTGATTCCCAACCTCTGGCTACTTCATGTGCCTTTGTCTTCTTCCTATAATTAAACACACCATTGCAAGAGTAGATCTAACACCAGCATAATTTTTTATAACAACGCTATATTATCATTCCTGACAAACCAAAACATCTGCACTGGAGTCATGCTTACAGACCTGTTATTGACAGTCAGTGCATTCCCATTTTCAACTTCTGAAGCACTGCTACGAGTTTAACCACATCCGGCTTAGCAAAGCCTATGCCTAAGGCAGCAGCAGTGCCCCATGTCGCTCAGTGCACAGGTCTCCCTCTTTGGCTGCTTCTAACCTGACCCGCATGGCTGGGCAGCAGAGATCACACTGTGTCACTCTGAGCTCAACTGATTCATCAGGAACCTGGTTAGATCAGGAATATTTGTTGCAGGATGGCTGAGATTAGAAAGAAAAAGAAACTGTTTATTTGCTATATAAAGTTTACAGTGGATTACAAAGTAATTTTCCATTGTTTCCCCAGGTTCTCAGATATACTATTCACTTGCTTAAATGTGTGCACATTTCTGAACAACCAGGTTTAAGTCAATTTCTTCAATGTTTTGACTATTGAAAAATATAATTACATATAAATGTTGAGGACAGCAGGATTTTATTTGCACAGCAATCCTGAGTGTGTTTCAGGGGCCAACTCCCATCTAAGGATGCTTCTACATACTGCTGGTGGCACAGGAATTTGAGAATAGGCTTAGACTTGCAGTTACCCACAATGTGGACTCACTAGAGTAACCTGAGAACAAAGCTTAAGAAGTCTGATTTGAAGCATGAGATCACTCTGCCTGACCAGGAAGTAAACATCAAAATTAAAGTCTCACAGTGCTGTAGAATTCTGGCTAAGCTCCTGGGATGCACCCTACTTGCCAGATAGAGTTGTTTCCTCTTCTGTCCGATAAACAATCCCATCACATTCTTTCCAAAGGCCTTGATTTGACTGACTGTATTATCTTCCCTCCCACAATCATTCTTTTTTTAGAATTTTTTTTAAAAATTATCAAAAGGGGAGCTGGAAATTTTAAGCTCATCTCTACCCATGCCATTCTGGAAGCACCCAAAAAGAGAAGCACTTATTCTAAAAGAGACTAAGACATGAGTCATCTGATGACTAAGCACATTGGCTCTGAAAGTCTCATTCAATCCATGACCAAATTCAAATCAATTCATTACCTAAATCACTTGTCCATTTTATAAGTTAATGCAGCAGCACTCTAAGGTCAGGAAGGGGCTCCCGTTTGCAGTGCCAGTGGTGAAACAGGACAGAAAAACCACATTGCGAGTTTGAAATTAAAGTGTTCTGAAAGTCAATTTTGGAGATGCCTCCAATCTCAGCTAAGACTTGGGTTAAGCGTGTACAAGCTGCTGGCACCAGCCACTCGTGCAGCTGAGCACCCCTGCAAATGCAACCACAAGCCCTGCTCCTGGCAGGGGGACAGGCAGAGCTTGGCTGCAGAGCCAGCGGGGCTCCGTGCAGGCAGGTGCCAGGACTGCAGCCAAACTATTCCAACATCCTTCTGTTACTTTTGCAAAAGCTCTCATACGAAGCTGCAAAAGAATTAAGTTAAACCATTTATGGTACTTAAATATCTCTCCATTCTGGAGGAATACAAACACCTTGCAAAACAAATGTGGTCATCCTCACAAACATGCTGTGGGATAACAGTCATGGGCAGGGAAACAGAGCACAGGGGAGCAGATGTAATTCCCATAAATAATTCTTAACAGACCCCAACCGATACCTTGATGCCTTTGAAATGCTAGCTCAAGATCAGACAGTAGGTCTAGGGCAGATGGCCCTCTGCCCTCTTCCTAAAATCCAGGTGAAGGACATCAGGCAGCAGGTCTCCCTCAGGGCACCCACAAGCAAAAAGAAACAGTAAAACACACAGCAAACAGTCTGGGCAGCCCCAGAAAACATCAGTCTCTTCAATCTGTTTTACAGTCCAGTGCACAGCCTTCCTGTGGGGCTGCCAATTTCTGCATGTTCAATTAACATAGCACAAAAAATACACTCGTAAATGGAATAACTTCACAGAACTAATTTAAATTGTTCTGCACTGTACTGCTGGCATCACACTACAACCAACGTCTCAGTACTGTATTTCTGCTGGTTTTAGGTTTTCTGAATCTTTCAACAGAGCTGAAGGAGAACGCAGCCAGGGTTTTTACCTAACTGGCCATCTTTGTGAGCATCTGTCTTTACACAAACAAATATAAAAGAATGGACATTTCTCACCAGGGAATGAATTTGCAATCTGCCTTTACTGGACTAAAGGTGTTAACAGGTGCCAACACCCATCTACTTTCCTCCATGGAAAGCCAGTGATCTTCCTCAGCTGAAGCATCAAACCCTGACTGCCCATGCCTCCTGGCCACCTTTTTCCACCCCTCTTCCCTCTGAGAACTTCAACTTCACCACTGAATTATCATAATTTACTAATGGGGAAGATGACCCATCTCAGGTAGCAGAAGGGAAGAGAACCCAGAGAACAGGCTGGCCGAAGGATGGAGAGGCTTACACACAAAGAAACATCCCAGACAAGCCTGGAGGTTTTAACTCAGTCAAAATTACCATGAAGCAGAGAAGCAGCAGCTGCCAGCATTGATGAGGAAGGATGAAAAAGCTGAAAATCTCTACAAAGGCTCACAAACAGCTGTCTGCAGGTGCAAGTACAAGATTAGCAAAGGATAAGCCAGTTTTCAGCATCATTACAGTGAACATGGCTAAAGCTGCAGGTGGGTGGACACACACCTCCGAGGGGTTCAGAGAGATGCCCTTGGGACTGGCAGCTCAGCTGTGACCACAGCCCGGTGGCTGCCAGGATGGCACACACACTTACACACTTTCACAGACAAGCATGCCCAGAAATTTAAGCAAACAGCTCAGATCCCACCAGCACATCATAATCTATTGCTCTTCACAGTGATCATATCAGATGCACAAAGTCTCCAGGATGGAGGTAAACCTGACAGCCCTCAAGAAGAGTGCACAACAGCTCCACTGCAAATGCACTTCACACCGATGCAAACACATCCCCTCTCCCACACTAAAGACATCCTTCAAAATAAAGGGTAATTACCATCTCTTCTGCTACAGTTATAACGTCATGAGATCTGTGTGCTCCCTGCTGGAATAACCGCTCTGGGTGTCTGTCCTCGTCCGAGCCACGCTCCCAAGCACTGATGAGGCAGCAGGACTTCAGCGGCCGCCTCCAGCTCTCCCGGCCATCACACGGGGGACTCTGGGTGCTGGATTGCAGACCAGCACGCCACCGCGGCACTCTGAGCCTACGCCTCTGGCACTTCTGAAACGCCAACCCAAAGACAGACAGATCCTCTCAGTAGACAAATAGCTGCACCTTGGGGAGAGAGCAGGCAAAAAGGAGCTTACTGTTACCCTTAATCCCTTTCTCTGGGACTCCGTTGCAGAAGTGTAAGGACTGTCTCACCCCTGGAAATACTCCCTCAGCTGTTTGTGTCCGACCTGCAGCCAAGGCAGGTCTGCCCCGGGGGTAACCAGCAATGTAACTCCCTTTCCTGGCAGCTGAATGCAAAGGGGACTGCAGGGAGCATAGAAACAGGAGGAGAATGCCCAGAATAAAACACGTTACAAAGACCTACCCATTACAAGCCCCTGGTTTCAGACTAAGGGTTCTACTCTGCTCCAGCTGGAAATCATTGGTGAGATTTCATTCACCCTCTGCTCTCTGACAGTGCAAATCCCACAGAGGTTACACCCTTCACATGGATTTCTCACCCCCTGTGGAGACTCCTTCCCACCCTGCTGTAAGCAGTAAGTAAAGTTAGTAAAGCCAGTAATGAGAAAGCTCCCCCAGGATGGAGCTGTGTGCAGCCACCACCACAGTGTCCTGCCGCCCGCACGGGATCTGCTCCGCAGGGGACTGCCAACTGCGGCCAAGGCGACTTCATCGCCACTCTGGGTTTTAAACAACCAGAGCTCTCTGAAGTCATTAACTCATACAAACATTGCAGGTCTGTTTAGGGACCTCCATTTTTACAAGCATTCATACATGAAAAGCAATCACTGAGTGCATTCAAGAAGAGGTGAAATCAAGAGAGGAAGAAGCTTTTGCTATAAATAGTGGAACATTTCTCTGAGTGCACGTTGTGTAGTCTAGTTCCTCCAGCTCTGTGCCGCATTGTGTTTTGTGCCACACAGCCTTTAAATCTTGTTACCTTCAACATCTGCACCTTCACTTTAAATATCCTGCTTCCCCATGCTGTATATTTCAGAAAGTCAAAGGCAGTCAGAGCATTTGTGGCTTGCCCCGGGGAGACACTAGTCTGACTGGCTAAAGATTTGTACTCTTTCCCCTCCATCTCCACCCTTTTTTCCTTCCCTTGCTATATCTTGACCTTTAAACAATATGCTTTTGAGTCAGGGTCTGTCACTGACTCTCTCTTTGTACAGCACCAGCACCATCCCCACAGTATGAACCGTGAACAATAGAAATGCAAAATTCTTCTTGTACAGGGTCTGGTCCAGAGCTCATTAGGAAGATGTCTCTCTTCAATGGCATGTGAACCAAAGCCGTAATACCAGCACGAGAAGAGAGCTATTTGCAAAGCTAACTATTTGGGGAATACAATCATGCAAAACCATGATTTTCCAGCAGAATGTCTTCACGCTTTCCAACAGACCAAAAAAAAGTGCGTGCACACGTATATGTATGTTTTTATCAAGCATTTTTGGCATAGGAAGCATTCTGATGCCATGGTGACGGGTGCTCTTGCAAACCCTTAACATAATAGATACAGATAAACCTGAAGCCAATTAGGAAATCAATACTGCTGTGCTTACATGATCCACAGCTACTCTAAAAGGGACAAAAATTTAACTCTCATGAAAAAGATCAAAACAAAAACCCAGATTCATTGTTAAACAGATTAATCAGACTCCTGGAAAGCTCTTCAGGGATTGGGTTCAATCTCTGCTGTTGTTATTAGCATAAGCCCTGTACAGCACTAACAAAAGACTCGCCTAAATCCTATGCTCTTGGTTTACTTTGCAATGAGACTCTGCTCAGGCTCACAGCATTTAACATACACACTCTTAATTAAGGGGATATGGCCAAGAGGAATAATTTGGCTGAAATTTATGCTATAGCAAAACAAACCTCTTAATGGCCCTTTTTGTAAGTGTGGGACTACCAGTCCTTCCTCTCCTGAACAAGGCCAGTATGGGAAGATAAAAGAGCCCTGGTGACAGCAGCACTTCCCCTGACCCAGCAGGGTCTGGGCATGATGCTATGCAGGGCCCCATGCTGCTGCAGGCCAGGCACTGAACCCACGTACAAGAGCCAGTCCTTCCCCAGGAAGATGGCAGCCACGTGGGGGCGAAAGGACAGCTAGGGATGACCGTAGGCTAGGTAGGAAAACCATGTTGCATCGGCAGGAGTGAGCCTGGAGCTGATGGGGCATCAGCCAGCTCAGGGTAGGCAGCGCTGGGCTTTGCCTGGCCCATCAGCAACAAGCCACAGGTGGACTTACAGCAGAAAGGCTCCTGCTTGCCAGTGCAGCAAAGGTACAGCCAAGAAAAACAAGCCAAAGCACAACCCCAAAGTGGTTCCTCACAGCTGCAGGGAGTGGATGGGGCCCCTCACAGGCTGCCGCCTCCCTGGAGAGGCTGCAGGGATGCGCTGTGGGAAATGGGTTAATGGCATCTAAAGAGAGAAGTCTCCACGGGAGTGCTGACAGGTAAATGGAGCGCAGGAATGACAGCTTGCTGAGAAACAACATCCTGCACCCCTCCTTGGGTGTCAATCACACGTTCCCCAAAAACCCCCAAATTAGAATAAAATACAACGTTGCCGCCTCTGCACCAAAAACTATTCATTCCATAAAAAGCATTTTCCTACATCTCTCTTATGCTTCTTCCATTCCTCTTAGGCCCCCTCACTCCTCTCCCACAGGAGTCATTTGATTAAGGAACTTTTCGGATTGCAGTATTCTGCAAACTTTTTTTGCAGAAGGGTTAAACCAGAGCATCCCGGCAGGGATGGCCAGTGCTGGAGGAAAGGGCCCACCTCTGGTTACACAAGCAAGAGCAAGGGGAAGGGGGTTCTCCTCATTGCGACTGAGCACCGCATCTACTTTGCTGAAGGCAGAGGGAGTCGCACCTCCCCTTCCTCTGTGACTTTATGATACTGTTTTTCCAGATGTGCAGATTAGAACTAAGTACCTCAACACATGCCTCATTTGCTTAGGTCTTGTTAAAGCTAAGTAAATGCTTGTAAGTGCACATTGCTAAGGAAAGAGCCGCTGAATGGGATCTGTGCTCTGCTCACCCAGTGCTTCGGGTGGGCTTCTCATGAATTAAAGTTTTCCAGTCTCAGCTCGGGAACCTGGGCAGGACAAGGGATGGTGGTGCATGGTCTTATATATAGCAACATCTAATGGTGGCTCCAAGGAGGACGTAGAGCCGGCAGGTTGCTAAACAGTGTGCCCCGTGAGCCCCTGGATTCAGAATCAGTTGCACAGCTGGGACAGGTAAGAATCACTTCCTTATTTCTCTGCCCTTCTCTACTCCAGTCCAGTAGAATACAGCTTCTACCGCTGTAGAAGCACAGAGCCCAAGTCCCTTCTGGCAGCCCAATGCCTGTAAGCCAGGTTTTAGTCCTGTCATCACTTCACCAGTTAGACACGTTACCTCACCTTGAGGCTTCTTCACAAAATGGGGGCAGCAACTCCTCATCCTGGTGCTGGGAGGACTGAGCCATCACCAGCTGTCTCACTGGTCCTCTCCACTTGCAGATCTCACACACTTCTACTAAGTGCCATGCTGTCATATTCCACTGCTCAAACTCCCAACTTCCATAAATCGACTGCAGTACTTTCATCTCCTGCAATGTTTAACTGGGACAAATGCCAGCGTATACATTGCTGAAGCACTGCTTGGTGAAGAGTATATGGAGCTGTAACACCAACCAAAAGGTTTCACGTGGTAATTAATCAGCTACAATAATAAATAATACATATATTTTCAAGTGTTTGCTCATTTCCTGAATGTCTCCCATAAATACCTAACCAGTAAAGCACATTTTAAACAGTGACACTTGTATCTTTTCCCATCTGAGCTAACTCTGTGCTATTTACTTAAAATAGAAAATTCAGTAGGAGAAAGGCAGGTTGAAAGGTAACAGGATTTTGTAAGTATTTTGAGCACTCAAACCTGTTCTGAACAACAAATACTTTAAAGTGTTTAATCTTTTCTCAATCTTACATTATTTTATAAACAAGTTTTATAGACTTATTTCAATCCCTTCACCCAGCCAGGCTGCTGGTCAACAGCAAGCATCACATGTGATGCTCACCGGTCAGGCTGCAGTCCTGCCACTGCAAAGCTTGGCTGTGCAGCCTCATGGAAACCAGCACCAAGATAAAAGCCTGGCCTCAAAAATACACCCCAAAGTAGCCTTCACTGAAGTACAAGAACTTTGCTTTTAATGCAGATGGAATTTCTAGTTCAGGCTTCTGAAAGCAAGTGCTGTGTTCAAAAAAATTATAAAGGAACCAGTGCAAATCTCTCCCCAAAAAGGAAAGGAGTTGTCAAGACACATGGAATGCTTCTCCACAGCCTTCAGCATTTGTTAAAGAAGGGGCTGGAGAAGGTCGGTGTCATTTGGCTCTCAGCAAAGCTTAAATAAGCTTCGGCCCTTTAGGTGGGTGCTGACCACTCTGACTGGGGTTAATTTACAATCCTGAGCCCCGGCACCCTGCAAGACAGCCCAGGACAGGCAGTCGTGCCAGACCTGCTCACCGCTGCCATCCTCCCAGGGAAGCTCCTTGGGTGACACGGGTCTCACACTGGCTTCTGCACTAGTCGAGTCTCTTCTCTGCCAAGGCACATGGACACTTGGCTGTAATCACCCATCCCATCAGGGCTGAATGGGCTTTTAAGCTACATATTTAGAAGGAAGGTACAAAAAAAAAACCTACCTTAATATTCCAGCTGGTACCTAATCCCTTAAACTCTCCTGGAGAGGTGCTTTTCATTTCCAAAGAAAAGTGAGTTAATGTTCTTGCCAGTGCTGTTAATCAGAGCAGCAAAGCCTCTTTTCATCACGCAGGGCCCAGGTGACTGTTTCCAAGGGATCAGCTGTTACCACATTTAGTTCAGTAAAGAGTTTATCTCAGCCACGTTCACAAAGGCCGACTATGAAGACATTCGCCTGCCGCATTCCCGCAGGCTGACACCTCAAGCAGGCACAGGGCTCCCAGCGCACCCAGGGAGGGCATGAAATGGGAACTGCTAGGAGTAGGGAGCTCTTCACAGGCACAAGAAGCCAGGGCAAGAGACAGCTCTGAGGGATGCGGCCACCGCCGGCTGCCAGCAGAC